ATATATTTTAAACAAGTTAACAAGAGAAAAGAAATATTTTTTAAGTTTCCGTTTGCACATTGTTATTTTGTCATGTCTGTAAAGATTTGAAGCGCGAAAAAATCGAGGGGAGGGAGGGGAGGTCGAGCCATAAATAACTGACCAGCTAATTGTAATTTACAATAAATTATTCATACATATTAAATTATATGCATCATGAAGTTTAATTTGTGATGTATACAACAGAACGAGGGATTCCACGGAACGTAAAATTAAAGAACTTCTAAAAGATCAGGAATTACTACAAAACAAATTGCGCCAAACACAGGGTGAGCGCGCAAGAATATGTAATATTTTGGATGGAAAATGTCGTGAAGTAACAGATTTTCAAAAGGAAATAGAGAATTTAAAAGAGGATGTTAAATTGAAAGAGATTAAACTAAAATGGACGCAAACTAAACTTAAAACTGAAATGGAGTCACAAAAGGAGACTCAACAAAAATTGGATAAAGCCTTGGTAAAGTAAAATATAATACGATTTTTCATGTAGTTTAAATCATGTAAAATAGTAGTTTGAAAATTGTATTTTGATTACATGAATATCTTTGGATTTTTGTTTTAGTCACAAATACTAGAGATATAAAAAAAGAAAAATTTTTATTTTTTTATTGTTTGAAAGTTATTAATTGTTTACGATTATATTTTTAACATGAAATAAAATTTTGTAAAAATTATCCAATTTCATTACAATTATTACAATTATTGATCTTAGTAGGCGTTTCAACCTGCGATTACTAATCACCATTAAAGAAATTTTAATGGAATCTTATTTATAGTAAAAAAGAATTAGATTTCTAAGTTCTAATGGAATATCAATATTTATTAGATGTATGTTGCAGATGAAAATAAATGATATGAAAGAAGAGTGCGAGCAAATACGCCGCGAAACGCAGGAATCATTTCGTAAATTTCAGCAATCTGAAGAAAATAAAGCTGTGACGTTAGACCAACAGCTGAAAGAACATCAGGCGCGTTTGATTTTGGAAAGACATGTTACAGAAGATAAAGAAACGTTAAGACTCCAGTTACAAAAGGAACTAGAAATATTGAAATCTAAGCAACAAAACTTAATCGAAGAAAA